TCCTTTAAAAAATAATACCCACGAATCGTTCATCTGCTGGCCGGTGAAAAAAATATTCAAAAATTTATGAATATTAGCCAAATACTGCCTGCAAAATTCTTTAAAATATATATTTTTTTAAAAACCCACATTTTTTGTAAATATTCTTAATATTCAAAAAAAAAAAAAAAATAAATAAACGAATTTTTTGGACCGATTATTCTTATGGAAAAATTATAAAAAGAGTTAATTCAAAGTGAACAATTTTAGTTTTTGTATTGTTTTGAACTTTTAGCCCCCTTTAACCCCTTTAACTCTGCTTGTAATTTCTTTTAATTACATAAACTTAAATGTTACTTATTCCCCCATGTTATATCAAAGCTATTGTCAGCTGCTGAAAATTTCTAAATTTCCTTTTACAAATGTTAGGGGAGAGAGCCTTTTGACATGCGCCATTGGTGGTGTTGAAATTGTACTCTCTTGCAGAAATTTGTCTCTGGAAAATGGCAATTTTTTTCGTGTTTACAAAAAACCATGTGTAAACAAAACAGAGATGATGTAAAGATTGTCATCTGATAGATGACAATTCAAGCATCATCCACTATTCGATTGCAATATTTAAACGATTTGCCATAAGTGTCATCTACGAATTTCTTTGAAGAAAAATTGTCCGCAAGGGCTAAAGAGACCAAGAATTGAAAAGAACAGAAAATGGTCTCAGTAAATATTTGAAATATTTTTTGTACAAAAGTTACCCAAGGAAAATAAATTTCCAAGGAGAGCTGTTCCAAAATCTGCAAAAAAAATACTAAATGTATTGGCGAAATAATCTTCTACTCATTAATAATCCAAAATTAAAGACCATTCTGATTATTAAGAACCTACAAATTGTATGTCCTTGGAATCCAGCGTTATGGGAGCTATTTTAGTTCAAATATACATAAATTTTGGTTGAAAATTTGCGATAGGCCCGTACTATAGGCTAAAATCCAAACATGGGAATACAGAAAAATTCAAAGCGGTATTGAACATTTTTGGTAGTATGATTTTTCATTCAACGAGTAAATGCTAATTTTTAGACAATGCGAATCCAATCAATACAAAAAAACCTCCTTAAAAATACCTAAAATCAGGAGTTTATGAGTTCTGTACCCAATACTGTAATTATTTAAAAAAAAAAAAGGATTTATTGGAGAAAGGCTTTCAAAATACTTTTATCCGGAAGATACGGCTGTACCAAAAAATGGACCCATAATAAAGCTATATTTTTTTAAATAAAGGCTGTACATATTGAGCAAGCGCAAGGTAAAATTACAGCAAATTTTCTGTCTGCAGAGCTCTGAAGTTTGGCAACCAGCTACTTCGTCAGCGAAAAGTCCATCCTCAAATATTAGATTCGTTCCGTTTTAGTAGTCATATTCCACAATTTGTTCACTTTGTCACCATCTATTAAACTTCAAAACTTCATGAATCGTACTAAATGTCCGGACTTCCAAGATTTTATATATTATTATATTTTTTCCTTTTTCGGAAAGAATAATAGGAAAATGTTTACCTTTACACAAAAAAGTCTTTAAAACGTTCTTACTGAAGTTAAACGAGGAGGATATTCCAATTTTTCTGTCCAAATTGATTTCAACGCCTACAAATATAAGCCCTAGAAACCAACAGTGAACTCAATTTCAAATTTCGGAATTCCAACTCAATCCCTTCACTAAATACCAAATTTAGTACCATTTAGTACTTTTCGTAGAAATATGGGACGCATTGCCAAACCACCTCCAAATCTCAACCTCAGATATAGTCATCCAAATATCAAATTTTCGAATTGTATCCCTATCCCTTCATCCAATATCAAATAAAGTACCACTCAGTAGTTTTCGTACAATTATAGTACACATTTCCAAAACCATCTCCATATTTTATCCACAGTCACCAACAGTGACATCTATGTTAAATTTCAGGATTTGAACTCCATCTCTTCACCCAATACCAAATTTAGTGCCATTCAGTACTTTTCTTACAATTATAGTACACATTCCCAAAATTACCTCTATATCTCTATCGCAGATACCAGCAGATCCCTCAGTATCAAATTTCAGAGTTTTATTTCCATACCTTAATTTTAGTACTTTTCGTCCGATATGGTACAAATTCCCAAAACTTCCTCCATATGTCCAGGCTACACATGAACAGCAACCATAATACCAAACTTCAAATTTTAAATCAAATTGAAATTTAATTCAAATATGTTCACCCAATACCAAATTGTACCAAATAAATAGTACAATTTAGCACTTTTCGTAAAACTATTGTACACATTTCCGAAACCATCCTCCATATCTCAATTCCAGATACTAACAGATACCTCTGTATCAAATTTCAGATTCTTTTCTATCCCTTTAACCATGAACAAATTAGTACCATTTAGTACTTTTCGTACAATTATTTGCATTTTTGCAAAACCACCTTCATATCTCGCAGATATCAACAGAGACCTCTGTATAAAATTTTAGACTTTTATTTCAATTCCTTCAATTAGTACCATTTAGTACTTTTTGTACAAATATAGTACGCATTTCCAAAACCACCTCCCTATCTCAATTCCAGATATCAACAGAGTTCTCAATATCAAAATTTGAGGATTCCAGCCCTATACCTTCACTCAATACCAAATATTGTACCATTTAGTACTTTTCGTACAATTATAGTAAACATTCCGAAAACCTCCATATGTACAGAACACATGAACATCGGCCCTAATACAAAATTTCAGATTTTAAGCACTTTATGTTCACCCAATACCAAATTGTACCAAATATATAGTTGTATTTAGTACTTTTTGTACATTCAGTAATTTTCCTACATTTATAGTTCATATTTTTCAAATCACCTTCATATGTCGAGGCTACACATGAACCGTGACCAATGACTCAAATACAAAATTTCATATTTTACACACTATCTGTTCACCCAATACAAAATTGTAACATATATAGTACTATTTAGTACTTTTCGTACAAATATAGAAGGTCTCTCCAAATCACCTCCAGATCTCAGCCTTAGATACCAACAGTTATCTGAATACTAAATTTCAGAATTTTATCTCTATCCCTTCACCCAATTCCAAATTTAGTACCAAAAGTACTGAACTTTTCGTACAATTATAGTACACATTTCCGAAACCACCTCCAAATGTTCAGGCTACCCATGAACAGCGACCCTAAAACCAAATTTCAAACTGGTAGCACTATATGTTCACCCAATAGCACATTGTACCAAATTTAGTACTATTTAGTACTTTTCGAGCACTTGTAGTACACATTTCCAAAACCACTTCTTTATCGAAAGTCTACACCCAACAGGGACCCCAATACAAAATTTCAAAATTCCACCTTCATCCATTTACCTTAAACCAAACTATTCGAAATTTAGTACCGCTCAAATGAAAGCCGTTATATGGGGTGTATACGAAACCGTGGTCCTGCAGATACAATTGTTTGTCATAGGCTGTAGTACCAATTCGGAACTTCAAATACGAAATTCGAAATAATTCCGGTAAAAAAATATCGCTCAAATCATTCTAATATCGAATATTGGGAAGAACCGTTCTGTGGGGGTTATACGCAAACGTAGACGTACTTGGCCCATTTAGGCACTTAACCTGCCCGAAAATTGGCACCAATTTTCAAAAACCGATTCGGAACTTCAAATACAAAATTCGAAATAATTGCGGTAAAAAATTGTCGCTAAAATCATTCTAATATCGAATATTGGGAGGAACCGTTCTGTGGACGGACTTTGGCCCATTTATGAACTTAGCCTGCCTGAAAATTGATACCAATTTTCAAAAACCAATTCGGAACTTCAAATACAAAATTCGAAATAATTCCGGTAAAAAATATCGCTAAAATTACTAAAATACAGAATATTGTGAGGAACCGTTCTGTGGGGGCTATACGCAAACGTAGACGTACTTGGCACATTTACGAACTTAACCTGCCTGAAAATTTGTACTAATTTTCAAAAACTCCACCTTATCGCCCCAATTTTTTTTTTTTAAATTCTGGTTCTAGCCGTTTTTCTAGGCATTTTTGGCTATCCGCCACCTATCCTTTATAATATATAGACGATAAAAGTCCCGTAGAAGGTCTCCTGGACAAGGTCCTTAAAATCCTATCCCCACATCGAATATAATTTCCACAACTTGATTGACCTCCTGCGAAAACTTCAAATGGCTAAAAATACTTTGTCCTTTGGCACTCTCGCGCACTCTGTCTCTCTGTCCAAGGATATGGAATCCATGGCTACCATTTGGCCCTCCAACAACTCCCTCCCAACTGCATCATCCATCAATGGCACTGTGCGATTCCTTGCCATTTCCGTTAACCTTCACCTTGGCCAATGTTCGCAGTGTGAAATGCGGCTTGGCTATGGTAATGAATGATGATGATGATGCTGCTCTTGTTGCTGTTGCTACTCTGATTCTAACAGTGGCATGTGGAGAGATGTAATCAAAATAACAGTTTTCTGCACACACACACACACACACACACACATTTATTCATGGCCAATTTCACTTTTGTTGGCTATGAAATGAGTGCCGCTACTAGCAACGGATGCTGTTCTCCATGGATGCCCCATCAATGGATAAATGACAGGCAGGCCTGGCTGGATGGCTGGCTGCCTCCCCAAACTGGCTTGGTGGCCTGGCTGACAGTCTGCTGCTGCTGCCACTTCTGATGTCTGTTATTTTTTGTTTTACATCCTTGAACTTAACTTTCACAAAATAACATCAACGACAAGTCGAACGAATGAAATGAGGCGGAATATCTGGATGGTGGACAAGAAGGTGGAGGAGGGGAGAAAGGGGCTGGGATGCTGAAAGGGGGCTGGGATGCTGCTGTCGTTGTTTGGACACGACATTTTGGTCATGACAATAATTAGGCTCTCATGCATGTGTATGGACGTATGTCTGTATGTCTATAAGTTTAATACACAATGACGGGATATTTACATACCTTGCTATCTACAGATGTATCTGTATCTGTGTGAGTGCCAGCGTCTGTTCTGCTGATTGATTTTATTGCTGAATCTTTGTTAAATTGCCAAGTTTGTTGGAATGTTTAGATATTTTTTTTTCTGCTAAAGGCAGGCTATTGTTGTAATTTTTATTTTTTTGCTGGGGAAACAACAACAAATATATAATAATTTTTTAAACAAATAAAATGGCCATCAACAAAGTCTATTCAAATTGCATTTCACTCTGAACAATTAACACTTTTTTCAATAATTTTTTTAATTTATTTATTTTTTTTATTTTGACACAAAAAATTCAATTCATTTGACGACAACAAAAAAAATGAAAACAATCCCGGATTTTCTGTGCGTTCCCGTTAAAAAGCAAACAGAACCACCGAAACAGAAACACGGCCAAAAACGTTTCACTTTGAAGTCACTCCACTCCACTCTCACAGCGAACGGAGCAAGTTAACCATAAACAATTGAATGGCCTGTCGGGCTGCCTGGAATGGATTTTATTACCGTTTTTCTGTTTTACTACAAATGACTGACTGGCTGACGGACTGACGAACTGGCTGTCTGTCAGACAAACTACACTCTACCCAAAAAAATATAAATGTAAACGCTTGAACACCACGACCGACGAAACCAACTTGAACGCTGCAATGTTTGTGCTCGACTGAAAGTTGCCAACGATTTTCACTAAACTTCAAGACCAGCATTTGAAGCAGCGATGGCAGCTTGGCAGAGCAGCCGCTGCCGCTACCACAGTCACAGCAGCATTGTTGGCCAAGAAACAAGCAGGAAAGAGGAACACAAAAAATAAATGTTCATAGATTCATTCATTCATTGCTACACTTGGCTTAGACCTCACACAACAGCCACCCCAGCAAACAGCCAGTCTGTCAGGCTGCCAACCAACACTCCAGCAACAAAACCAACAGCCAAGCAACAATTTAAGACCGTAACAACATTTTCTTGTTTTCGCTCTCTCCCTCGCTCACTCTCTCACTCACATTGCGTGTCTGTGTCACATCAACCACTTCCCACCCCTACACCCTTCGATTCTCCATAAAAATCTTCATGGCTTGGTTTACCATCATCTCGGCTAGCTTTGAACATTTTGAGCCATGGCTAAAATGTTGTTGGGTTATTCAACTTTTGTTGGATACATTGTTGCCGTTATCGGTCATTGTCTTGTGTCTTGAGTTTTCCACGAGAAAATGTTGCCATAAATATTTTGGAAAATTAATTAACTAACTTTTTTTCATGGGTGTATGAGAACAATTGGAGCACAATTAGCAAAATTTTTAGGATATCCAAAATAAAAAAAAAATAAAATTTTGCCATATTGTTTTCCCATGAAAAAAAAAATATAGTAAATTAATTTCAAAATATTTATGGAAACATTTCCTCATGTCATCAATATTCAAATAAATATTTCAAAAAGTACACGAATGATCTTCAAGAAAAGAGAAATTCACGAATGATCCTTGAAAAATATTTAAAAACTCTCAAACAATTTAAAGAATCTACAACGGGTTCTCTTTTTTTAAAACATAGACATATAAACGTGGATTTTTGAAGAATATTTTTTTCAAGGATCCTCAGACATTTAAACGTGTATTTTTAAATATTTTTTTCAACAACCCTCAGACCTTTAAAATTTGATTTTTAAGGAATATTTTTAAGGATTCTTAGACCTTTAAACGTAGATTTTTAAGGACCCTCAGTCTTATAAAATTGGATTTTTAATGAAAATGTTTAAAAGTGCCCTCAGACCTATTAACTTGGATTTTTAAAAACAATTTTTAAGGAACCTATAAACGTGTATTTTAAAGGAAAATTTTTAAAAGGACCCTCAGACCTATAAGCTTAGATTTTTAAAGAAAAATTTTAAAGATACCACAGACCTATACACTTTGATTTTTAAAGAATCTTTTTCAAGGATATAGGCCTAGAAACGTGGATTATTAAAGAACATTTTTAAAATAAGCTACGAACATATTAACTTGGATTTTTAAAGAAAAATTTTAAAAGGACCCTTAGACCTTAAACCTTTAATTTTTAAAAAAAAAATTTAAAGAACCCTCAGACCTATAAACGTGGCTCTTTAAAGAATATTTTAAAGGGTCCTTCAGACCTAGAAACGTGGATGTTTAAACAATATTTTTAAATATATCTTCGAATCTATAACGTTGGATTTTTAAGGAAAATTTTTGAAAGTTCCTATAAACTTGGAACATTTTTAAAAGGTCCCTCAGACCTTTTGAGATATAAACGTGGATTTTTTAAGACAATTATTAAAAGGACCCTCAGAGCTATAAACGTGGACTTTTAAAGAAAACTTTTAAAAGGACCCTCTGATTTATAAAGAAAAGTTTTAAAAGGGTCCTATAAACGGGGATTTTTAAAGAAAATGTTTAAAGGGACCCTCAGACCTATAAACTTTGATTTGTAAAGAATATTTTTAAAGAAAACAGACCTACAAACTTGGATTTTTAAAGAACATTTTTAAAATGACCTACGAACCTATAAATTTGGATTTTTAAATAACATTTTTAAAAGGACCCTCAGACCTAAAAACGTATATTTTTAAAAACAATTTTTAAAGGGTCTCACACAATTTTTTAAAATGACCTTCGAACCTATAATCTTGGATTTTTAAAGAAAAATTTTAAAGGGCCTCTCAGACCTATAAACGTAGATTTTTAAAAACAATTTTTAAGGTCCCTCAGATGTATAATCTTGGATTTTCAAAAACTTGGATTTTTAAAGAAATTTGTATAGAGGACCCTCAGACCTACAAAAGTGGATTTTTAAAGAAAATTTTTAAAAGGACCCTCAGACCTTTCAATGTGGATTTTTAAAGAAAATGTTTATAGGGTCCTTAGACCTACAAAAGTGGATTTTTAAAGAAAAATTTTAAAGGGACCCTCATCTATAAACGTGGATTTTTAAAGAAAAATTTTATAAGGTCCCTCAGATTTTGGATTTTTAAATAAAATTTTTAAAATGACTCTCAGATCTGTAAACGTGGATTTTTAAAGAAATTTTTTTAAAGGGATCCTCAGATCTGTAAACGTGGATTTTTAAAGCAAATTTTTAAAATGTGTCTCAGACCTTTAAACTTGGTTTTTTAAAGAAAAATTTTAAAGGTCACTCAGACCTATAAACTTGGATTTTTAAGGAAAATTTTTGAAGGGACCTTCAGACCTTTTAACCTTTTAAAGAATATTTTGAAAAGTTTCCTCAGACCTATAAACGTAGACTTTAAAGAACATTTTTAAAAGGACCCTTACTCTCAGACCTATAAACGTGAATTTTTAAAGAATATTTCTTCAAGGAACAAACGTGGATATGAGAGGTCCTTCTGATCTCCGATGAGAAGACTTTCTGTCCTCCGATGAAAATACATTCTCGTCTTCTATGAGAAGACCTTCTCGCCTTCAGTGGGAAACTCTTATCGTCTTCTATGAAAAGACCTACAAGTTTCGGCTCCATAAACAGCAACATCAGCAAAAATGGTTCAAAAAGTTAAGAAGCGACTTGATTGAAACCCGCGTCGCATTGGCCGAAAAATGGCTCGTGAGCTGAACATATCGCAATATTGAAAAATCAGCTCGGGGCAAAGCCATTGAAATTCCAAAAAGTGCAAGAACTTACATCGCAACGGAAAGAAAATAGACCCAAAAGAGCTAAAGAGTTGCTTCACTTGGCCGAAAGTGGTGAACTGCCGAATTTGGTTTTCTCCGCTCTGATGAGAAAACATTCGTTGTCCAGCAGTATGTAAACAAACAAAAACAAACTTGCCAAACAGGTCAGCTAAAAATGTGCAACTTCGGTTGGCCACCAGAACTCAAGCGCAGTATTAATCGACCGTGGCATCAGAATAAATGCCGAATATTATCGCGAAAATATTCTGGAGGGTGTATTAAAGCCTTGGGCACGCAAACATTTTGGCCGCAGACCTTGGACATTCCAACAGGACTCAGCACCATCGCACTCTGCCCGCGTCACCCAAGATTGGTTACAAAAGAGGTTCCTCGCTTCATTTCCAGCGCACCATGGCCACCAAAATCTCCGGATACCAATCCGTTGGATTATTGTGTCTGGAGTATTTTGGAAAGCAAGGTTGCCACTGAAAAATACCAAAGTGTCGATCACCTCAAGCAAGCGCTTCGCCGGGAATGTGCCAAAATACCGCAGAGCAACATTCGGGCAGCGTGTGACGGTTTCATTGACCATTCGAAGGCCATAGTGACCAATTCGAACAAATCTAAATTTATTCTAAAATTTTATTATATTTCTGACATTTTTTGCTTTCATTCAAATATAGTACATCTTTTGTTCGAATTTCGAAAAAAACGCTTTAGTTTGTCAATCGAACATATCATCAAGGAATCGCATTCCAAATTTCAGATTTCCATTTCGATTCCTTCACCAAATACAAAAGTTAATACTAGTTAAAAATGCAAAACTAGTAGATTCTTGCAAGTTCTGGAAAAAGTTACTTTTGTGACCAATTATTTCGTCTTACGTCAATCCTTCATGCCATTTGATATATAGCATAGGAGTTGATTGATCAAAAAAAAAAAAATTGGAAATTGTTATATTTTAATTACCATCTAATGTGGAGAGGGAATAGTTTTCTGGTGTTTGAAATGATACCCAACTGTTGCCATCGTCTCCAACATTTCACCGGATGTGAGATTTTCGGTTTATTTGCACAACATGTGTTTGCTTTAAATTGACACGCCCAGCTCAAGGACTTTTCACGACTTATGCAAACATCTAAAATATTTAATAAAATATGTTATATTTCATTCCACAAACTTTGGGACTTCCGCCGGATGTCATTTCGTGATCATATGGCTCCAGTTCTTTGTATGACCTGCAGCTGTCAAAATATTATGTGTGGCTGTGACGCACACTCGCATACTTTTGACACTCTGAAAGACTTAATATGGACTCAATATCTTTGTCAAGAAGATGAGAGTGTGCGTCACAGCCACACATAATATTTTGACAGCTGTGGTGGTGGTGCAAAGAGCTTGAGCCACATGATCATGAAATGGCATCCGGCGGAAGCCCGCCATCTGTAGAGAGCAAAATATAACTTATTTGATTAAATGTACATTATTTGAGAAAATAAATAAATTAAGGCCTTGAGGTGTTTTAGCATTGGTGGTTCTGAGTGGATAAAGACAAACAAAATACATAAATTAGTTTAAAGGAACCTAGGAAACAATCGTGAAAATCCATACTTTTTGTTCCAATTTATTATATATATTATACATATATATTTTTTTATAGTCGTGGATTTTTTCAATATTTTTAAATACTGTTTTTTAATTTTTTACAAATACAATGGCGGATTTTTTTAACTTTATTGCTGAATGTTAGGTAATTTTCCAATTATTGTTGATTATAAAAATGTTCTTTGGATTTTTTATATAAACATGGTTTTTCAACATGTTTTAACAGTCGTAGATTCTCTTTAAGAATATTTTGTAAATAAGCATGGCATTTTTTAATTAAAATCGATTTTTAAGCATTTTATTTACCTACCCCTCTTATGTTCCGCACAGTGGGATTCGTTTATAAATCTTGGAAAAATATTTTTTTTTAAATCGAGGCGAAATTTGCTATTAATTCATTTAAATTGTATATAAG